ACATGTGCCAGTACTTCATTCCTTTTTTTAAAATAAAGATTTTATTTATATATGTTTAGAGAGAGGGGAAGGGAGGGAGAAAGAAAGGGAGAGAAACACTGATTGGTTGCCTCTTGCACACGCCCTGACCAGGGACTGAACCCACCTCCAAGGCATGTGTCTTGACCGGGAATTGAATCAGTGACCCTTTGCTCTGTGGGACGACACCCAAGCAATTGAGCCACACTAGCCACACAGTACTTCATTAGCCACACAGTACTTCATTCCATCTTATGGCCAAATAACATTCCATTGTATGGATGGTCTATACCATTTCTAAGTATAGCCATCTACCAGTTTACGGACACTTGGGTTGTTTCCACTTTTTGTTATTATGAATTATGAGCATTCATATACAACATTTTGTGTGGACATATGCTTTCTTTAAAAAAATTTTTTTAAAGAGGGAGGGGAAGGAGATAGAGAGAGAGAAAGAAACATCAACGTGCGGTTGCTGGGGGTCATGGCCTGCAACCCAGGCATGTGCCTGGCTGGGAATCGAACCTGCGACACTTTGGTTCGCAGCCCATGCTCAATCCACTGAGCTATGCCAGCCAGGGCTTTTTAAATTTTTTATTTTTAATTTTTTTTGACATACGCTTTCTTTAAAAAAATATTTATTTTTTGTTTATAGTTTACATTCAATGTTATTTTGTATTAATTTAAGCTGTATAGCATAGTGGTTAGACAATCATGTACCTTACAGTGTTCCCTCTGATGTTTCCATTACCCACCTGGCACCATTCATAGTTATTACACTATCATTGACTATATTCCCTATGCTGCACTTTACATCTCTATGACTATTTTGTAATTACCAAAATTTATACTTCTATTTTTTATAGTGCACTTTTAAAATTTATATTTTATTGATTATGCTATTACAGTTGTCCTGATTTTTTCCTCTTTGTCCTCCTCCACTCAGCCATCCCACTTCCTAAAGCCATCCTCACACATTGCTCATTGCCCATGGGTCATGCACATAAGTCCTTTGGTTACTCCATTTCCTATACTGTACTTTACATTCCCATGGCTATTCTGTGACTATTTGTACTTCATAATCCCCTCGCCTCATCAGTCACCCATTCCCTCAAACCCCCTTCCACCTGCCAACCATCAAAACCTTCTCTGTGTCCATGATTCTCTGTTCTTATTTGCTTAGTTGTTTTTAAGATTCAATTATTGATAGATATGTATTTATTGCCATTTTATTGTTCATCATTTCGATCTTCTTTTTCTTAAGTATGTCCCTTTAACATTTCATATAATAATGGTTTGGTGATGATGAACTCCTTTAGATTCTTCTTGTCTTGGAAGCTCTTTATCTGCCCTTTGGTTCTAAATGATAGCTTTGCTGGGTAGAGCAATCTTGGCTGTAGGTCACTGCTTTTCATGACTTTGAATATGTCTTGCCAATCCCTTAGAGCCTGAAAAGTTTCTTTTGAGACATCAGCTGACAGTCTTATGGGAACTTCCCTGTAGGTAACTAACTTCTTTCTCTTGCTGCTTTTAAAATTCTCTCTTTATCTTTAAACTTTGGCATTTTAATTATGATGTATCAAGCGGGGTACTCCAGGTGTGCCCTTTGTGTGGGCTGAATACACCCTCCTCTTGTAGTTGAGCCTTGATTGCTGTTGGCAGGTCAATGGGAGGGATTTACCCAGGCCAGTCAGCTGCAAGGACTGGCTGTGATCATTGACCACCAATCTCTGCCCTTGGTGGAGCTGTACAGGGGCAGGGTGGTGGTTCTTTGATGTTGTCTGTAGCTGTCCATGTGGTGTGCTGGCCGTGGGGTTTCCCGGGTGATGCAGGAGCAGGTCAGCCCCTGCCTGTGCTTTGCCCAGGTCACCTTAGCTGAGCCGTAAAGCAACCTGAGAGTGCTGCTACTCATGCTGAGCTTAGAGATTCCCAGGTAAAGCCAAGCTGTGAGTCTAAGCTGGCTGCCACTAGGGTTCATTGAAGCCAGCTGTTGCTCGTTTGACAGGATTTGGGAGCCAAGCTTATGGAAAAGCCATTCTTATGGAAAAGCAGCTTGGGTTGGCCTGTAAGTTGGCTCAATGTCAAACAGTGTTAGTGGTGTTGTTAGAGTCTCAGATTTGGCACCAGCTTACCACTCTGTGGAGGGAGGGTTTAGCAAAGGGACAATGGCCTCTGCTTGCCTTCATGCCAGATGCTTCAGTTTTCCCCTGTATACCACTGGTGCCATTCAAGGTGCTACCCTGGTGCTAAAGCTCAGAGAGAGTAAGTCTGAACAGGTGAGTCCATTTGTCGGTTCCTTAAGAGGAACTGCTTGAGGCTCCAGAAGTTTCTCCCCCAGACTCAATTCCCACTGGTTTTTGCAGCCACCTGTTCTGGGTCTATGTCCCTCCCACCAGTCTGGATGGATGTGATTTCTTTATTCTGTAGTTGTCATACTTCCATTAACTCAATTTCTGATGTTCTGAGTGACGGTTGTTCTATATTTTAGTTGTAATTTTGATAAGGTTGTGTGAGGAGGTGAGCCATGTCTGTCTATGCCACCATCTTTCCTGGAAGCCCCGACATATATTTCAATTCTCTTGGAGAGATACTTAGAGTGGAATTGCTGGGTATACGGTGAATGAATCAGTCAGGCTCCCTCACCCAGATATCTGGGCAACTAAGATAAGCAGATTCCCATAGACTTGAGATTGGGCCACATGTGCAGAATCATGCTATGTTATACAATATCTTGGCACTCTGCCGGCTTTGTGTGCATTTAGTACATAAGGGAGTTGGGACTTCCTGTGGTGTGACATGGCTTGTGGCGTGTGTGGATAACCCCACCCTTGAATAAAGGCATGTCAGGTATTCCCATGGATCCACAAATTTTCTCTGCCTGCCTGAATCTTGAGTGAACCTGCCTGGCCTCAAAAGGCTGCAACACACTGGGGTATACAATAACTCTACATTTAACTGTTTGAGGAACTGCCAGACTCTTATTTATAGTGGCTGCATCATTTTACATACCTACCAGCAGTGTATGAGGGTTTGGATTTCCTGAATTCCCACCAACACTTGTTATTGTCTTTTAAAAAAAGATTTATATATTTATTTATTTTTAGAGAGAGGGAAGGGAGGGGGAAAGAGAGAGAGAGAAACATCAGTGTGTGAGAGAAACATCGACTGGTTGCCTCTTGCACGCCCCCAACTGGGAACCCGCAACCCAGGCATGTGCCCTGACCAGGAATGAACAGGCGACCTGTCTTTTGGCAGGTAGATGCTCAATCCACAGAGCCACAGCAGCCAGGGCTGTCTGTCTCTTTAATTATAGGTGTAAAGTGGCATCTTATTGTTGAAGCTCACTTTTTAAAAAAAGATTTATTTATTTTTTGAGAGATGGGAAGGGAGGGAGAGAGGGAGAGAAATATTGATATGCGAGAGATACATCAGTCGGTTTCTTCTTGCACTCCCCCTACTAGGGGGAGGTGGCCTACAACCCAGGCAGTGCCCTAACTGGGAATCCAACCAGCAATCTCTTGGTTTGTAGGCTGACACTCACTCAGTTCACTGAGCCACACCAGTCAGGGTGAAGCTCACTTTTCAATATGAATTATTCCATTGTTGAAAAGGTAAAGCCAGAGCCATTTGCTGTTGTGGCACCATTTGCTGAGCAGGCCTGTGACCTTGTTAAACATGACTCCATTTCACTCTCCTGAGCTTCTGTCCCCAGGACTGGACGTTACTGGGAGCAAGAACAGAACTAGCCGCTCCCTGCAGCCACAGGCAGAAGATAACCTTGGAACAAATTGCAGCCTGGAGTTACAACACCCTGACAGCCCAGGGGTCTCACAACAGCAACCCCCCTTTTTTATCCAATTATAATCCAGTAAAAGCTCAAAGCCTCTCCCCTCAGTGCTGATGTATCTCCCCACACCGTGCCCCTCTCCTCTCTTGGAGAGTGAATAAAAATTTTCTTTACATTTTTTTTCTTTTTGTGAATTCTTTCACAGCTTGAGCCACTGGCCACTCTAACAACTGTCTTTGGACTAAACATTTCTTCTCCATTCCCCATGCCACTTCTCAGTCTTTCTCACAACTCCCATTGTTATTTTAGGGTTACACCTATTTTAATGCCTCATAAAGTCTCATTTCCCCCATTAAGCATTGTATCCTAAACCATGTTGAAGGTAGTCACAATTCCTTCAGGACTTCCACTCTGACTGTGACACCAAGTAGTGACATTCACTACTTAGTTGCATTTCCATGCCTCTGACCTCACTTAAGCAGTTCGATCTTGAATTTTAAGCATTCTCAAAGGAGCAAATTTCTGTAAAGAATTTACAACACTAGGCATATTGATGAGATTTTATTCATAGTGAATGTTTTAATAATAAAAATGAATGCTTTCTACACCTTCATATTCCAATAGCCTACTAAAAATGACTAAGAATAATTATTCGCAAATACAAGGTGGTATTTGTGATTGGTCTTTCATCTTCAAGTGATGACTAGTTCTCCTGAGGGAAGAGACTGGTAAGGCTAGTCCTGATGGAGGTCAGCTTAGTTACAATACATTGCAGACAATTCATGACGTTAATGGATTTGGAAACTTAGAATGTCTGACATGGTGGAGTGTAAAAGAATGATATATTTCTTTGACAATTTATAAGATCTGAGAAATGCTAAAAAGCCCTAGAGGTCAGAATAGTGTTGTCTACTAAAAAACAGTGTGGGATAGTTAATGATTTATTTATATGAAGTTTAAAACTTAGCACAACTAATCCATGGCTTCAGAAGTCCAGATGGCGGTTGCTGGTGGGGAGCGGGTAGGGAGAGGAAGAGGTGGGAGGGGAGTTCTGGGTTCCTGCTTACCTTCTGTTTCTTGCTGTGGGTCGTGAATGGTCCCCTTTGTAGAAAAATCTATTGAGTTGTACACTTAAAATCTGAGCACTTCTTTTTATGTTATGTTCAATACATTTTTAGATGTAAAAACATAGGGTATATTATCTGGCAGGGGAGATACCTGATCACAAAGGCAGTTTTCCCAGGGCGAGGCTTATCCACTGCACTCCGGACATGCTGACCCCTGCGATTTCCCCAAGTGTGGGAAACTTGACTGAAGGATTTGTGGTAGTGGGGGCTGTGTTCATGCTCTCCCCTAAAAAACAAAGAAAAGAAAACACAGAGCATAGAAATCTTTGCTAGTCTTTTATGGAAAGTTGATGTGAGAATTGTCCATCTAACAGAATTTTTAAAAATAGATTTTATTTTGTAAAACAGTTTAAAGCTTAAGGAAAAACTGAGCATCTCATTCAGAGTTCCTTACACTCTATACCCAGTTTCCACATTATTAACAGCTTACATTAGATGGTATATTTGTTATAATTAATAAACCTGTATTGATACATTATTATCAACCAAAGTCCACAGTTTATTCCAATTTCCTTACTTTTTCTTTATGTCCTTTTTCTGTCCCAGGATCCACCACAACATTTAGTTGTCCCATCTCTCAGGCTCAGCTTGGCTGTGCCTATCTTTCAGACTGTTTTTTTTTCTTAAGATTTTATTTATTTATTATTAGAGAGAGGGGAAGGGAGGGAGAGAGTGGAGAGAAACATCGATGTTAGAAACCTTGATCAGTTGTCTACCACACCCGCCAACCAGGGACCTGGCCTGAAGCCCAGGCATGTGCTCTGATCCCCTGATCAGGGAGGAACCCGTTAGCTTTCGGTTTGCAAGTGGGCGCTCAATCCACTGAGCCACCCCAGCCAGGGCCTCTGTGAGGCTGTTGAGGCTGTTTCCGATATTTTGACAGTTTTGAGGAGGAACTGCTCAGGCGTTTTGCAGAATGCTCCTCTATTGGGATTTGTCTGAAGATTTTCTCATGACTAGATGGGTAATAGATTTTGGGGAGGTCTAACAGTATTTGGTGAAACTTTTTAAAAGCTGTTGTTTATCATTTTCCTTAATGTCCCTGTACAAGGAACTTTGTAGTAAATTCCTTTTTTTATCCCACAGGAGAATAAATAGGGCTGTCTCCTTAGATTAATTTGTATGTTCTCTTTGTTGGGGAATCAAAACTATATAATCCAGTGTGTTTTCTTTTGTGATTCTGCAGCCAGAAACACAACCTCAACCTGCTCATCTGGTCTGCCTGGACACACTTATTCCCTCTGCTGTTTGTGAGAAACACTGATCAGCTGTCTACCACACAATTTGGTATTTGGTGGCTCTTTTGTTTCTTTCTTTCTTAATTTATTTTTATTGTTGATTACAGATTCTTTTGTTGCTTTCTTATTCATTCTATTGTGTATTATGATTAATTTGTGAACCACCTGTATTAATTTCCTAGAATGGTTGTAACAAATTACCACAGACTGGGTGGTTTAAAACAACAGAATTTTATTCTCTCTTGCCCTAACCAGTGTGGCTCAGTTGGTTGGAGGGTCATCCCATATACTGGAAGGCTGTGGGTTTGATTCCAGGTCTGGGCACACAGCTGGGTTTCAGGCTCATCCTTGGTCAGGGCGTGTACAAGAAGGTAACAAATCGATGTTTCTTCTCACATCTTGGTTTCTCTCTCTACCTCTCTACCCCTTCCCCTCTCTCTAAAAGCAATGGAAAATTGTCCTTGGGTGAGGATTAAAAAAAAAAGAAATTTACTCTCTCACAGTTTTGGAGACTGGAAGCATGAAAGCAAAGTGTTGGCAGGGTTGGTTCATTCTAGAAGCCCCGAGGGACAATGTTTTCCATGCCTCTCTGCTAGCTTCTGGTGGCTGCCAGCAATTCTCGGCATTCTTTGGCTTGTAGACACATCACTTTAATCTCTGCTCCATGTTCACATGGCCGTCTCCCTGCATGTCTCTGTGCATCTTCTCCAGTTCTTATAAAAATACCAGCCATTAGATTTAGGGCTCACCCTAATCCAGTGTGGCCTCCTCTTAACTAATTACATTTGCAAAGACCCTATTTCCAAAAAAAGAGTACATCTGAAGTTCTGGAGGACATGAATTTGAGGGAGACACTATTCAACCCAGTGCAGTACTGTATACCATTTTGGAGATAGATGAGTATAAATGTTAAATAAATGAAAACAATAATTTTTACCCTTTACTAATCTACTGACTCATCAGAATCATCAGGGGTTTCATAAATGTGTCAATAGTCTTAAAAGAAAAAAATTGCCTAGCCTTGGCTGGTGTAGCTCAGTGGATTGAGTACCGGCCTGAGAACCAAATGGTCGCTTGGTTCAGTTCCCAGTCAGGGCACATGCCTGGGTTGCGGGCCAGGTCCCCAGTGGGAGGTGTGTAAGAGGCAACCACACATTGATGTTTCTCTCTCTCTTTCTCCCTCCCTTCCCCTCTCTCTAAAAATAAGTAAATACAATCTTTTTTGTTAAAAAAAGAATATATTTTTAAAATTGTCTAATGAAACTTTGTAGTTGACTCTCTTGTTTTTAACAATCAGGCCCCCCTGCTGCCCCCAAAAATGTGATATGAAAAGTGTAAGAGAACCAACACCAACACAAGGGAAAGGTTTTCCTGCTTGATGACCTGTGGGTGTCTCCTGTAGGGAACTTGGTGACACCCATAGAGCACTACAATGGCTGCAGGGCCCTCTGTGGCTATTTCCATCTGAGCTCTGAGCAGGAAAGCGGAAGGATAAATCAACACTCCCTGGAAACTTGTGGCAGTTGTCTGCTTCTTTTGTGTAATCGAATATATGATCAATTTAGAGGAAATTGAGTTGAAAAAGGAAAATAGTAGAGCTATTTTGACCTGTTTTCATGGCTGGCCTAGGCAAAGATACTATGAAGCAGAAATACCAGTCACAGTTATTATGCCACCCATTTAGTGACGGTTGCCAATGGAATGTGGCCTTCTGTATTTTCCCAACCATCATTTCATAGGGACGGCTGTACTATGAACCTTATGAGTATAAAAATGGGGGGCAGTAATGTTTATTTACATTTTACATGTTATTTTAAGGTCTAGAAAAGTTGAGTAACTCTTCTAAGAATTATACAGCAAATTAAGGTCTAGAACTAGAAATAAGTGCTATAGTACAAGTCTTATCTCCCCATCACTGCGCAAAGCAGCCTCTCTGCTCCCTAATGACTGCAATGCCCTCTCCCCTGCTTTTGCAGCTTTGCCACATATTAGAGGCTGATATTATTTATGATCATCAAACAATTCACTCAGCAAACACCAGGCACTACATCAGCAGTGGGAGGATTCTGAGAACAACTTTTCAGAGTTTCAGTCCAGAAGAGACTGATGTGTATACAAATAAATCTACTGCATTTTCCCACAGGGTTTGTACTTTTATATTTATCTTTGTCCTACTGGGGCTGTTTGAACCTTTTATTTGACAGATAGGGAAAGTGAAGCTCAGAGAACTTTGACCGACACAGCTAACTAGTGGCAAAGCCGAGATGCTGAGCAAAGAGCCTGACTTTTAGTTTCTACAATTCATGCTAGCTCCTCCTAAACCCCATTTATTTTCTTACAACTGTGCAGTAAAGCTGTTCAGATTAGAGAACTCTGACTGTACTGAAATTATGTTGAGAAATACTAATTGTCCATTTCTCAGCGTGTGGTTTTCTCCTGCTTCCTTTGGCATATGCCAAATATGTGAACAATATGAATAGGCTATCATTCTCTGAGCAAACTCCTAAATGTATGAATAAACTCAACAAAGAACAAAACCTGGGATTGAACCCAAGGGGGGGAAAGCACAATGCTGCAGGAGGAAATCTCTGCTTTTCTTAATTAAGCATTCATATTTTTACTGTGCAGTAATATTGAGTGGTAAGATAGGTAATCAATATAAGTAGTGGTTGTTCAAAATGGTATAGTCGCCTCAGGTGTCAAGGTACCTCTTAAAAGTATTTTCTAAGCCATGGCCAGTATAGCTCAGTGGACTGTGAACCAAAGGGTTGCTAGTTTGATTCCCAGTCAGGGCACACGTCTGGGTTGCGGGCCAAGTCCCCATTTGGGGCACACGGGAGGCAACCACATATTGATGTTTCTCTCCCTCTCTTTCTTCTTCCCTTCCCCTCTCTCTAAAAATAAATAAAATCTTAAAAAATATTTTCTAGAAGTAATAACGAAGTGATGAGCATCATCCTCATAGACAATGAAGTGCAGGGCATAGAAAAAAAGAGACATTTTTGCCACAGTATCAGGCATTGTTATATATTTTTAAAATACATGTATATTTGCAATGTGGGAAATTCATTTCTAAACATAAATTTGTTATGTATGTGAAAGTCTTGAGGCGCCCTGGCCAGGTAGCTTGGTTGGTTAGAACATCGTTCTGATATGCCAAAGTTGTGGGATCAATCCTTGGTCAGGACACATACAAGAACCAACCAATGAATGTATAAATAGGTGGAACAACAAATTAATGTTTCTCTTTCTCCTTCCTTTCCTTTCTATAAATCAATAAACTTTTTAAAACTACAAAAAAGTCTGGAGGAAATGGGCATTTTTAATTAAATATATTTTATTGATTATGCTATTGCAGTTGTCCCATTTCTCTCCTTCATTCCCCTCTGCCCTGCACACCCCCTCCCACTTGCATTCCACCCCTTTAGTTCACGTCCATGGGTCACACATATAAGTTCTTCGACTTCTACATTTTCTATACGATTCTTAACACCCCCTGTCTATTCTCTACCTACAATTTATGCTACTTATTCTCTGTACATTTCTGCCCCCCTCTCCCCCTCCTACCCCCCCCACCGATAACCCTCCATATGATCTCTATTTCTGTGATTCTGTTCCTGTTCTAGTTGTTTGTTTAGTTTGTTTTCAAATAAGTTTTCAATTTCTTGCTCTTCCTTTTTTCCTTCTGGCACCCATATCATTCGGATGTTGGAACATCTAAAGATGTCCTGGAGGTTCCTAAGCCTCTCCTCATGTTTTTGAATTCTTTCTTCATTCTGTTCTGGTTGAATGTTTCTTTCTTCCGTCTGGTCCACACCTTTGAGTCTCAGTTTCATTCCTGTCACTGTTGGTTCCCTGTACATTTTCCTTTATTTCACTTAGCATAGCCTTCATTTTTCCCTCTAATTTGTGACCATATTCAACCAATTCTGTAAGCATCCTGATTACCAGTGTTTTGAACTGTGTATCTGATAGATTGGCTATCTCTTAG